GGCTGGATGCAGAGACTCATGCCTGTAATCCCAACGCTTTGGAAGTCTGAGGCAGGAGGATTGCTTGAGGCCAGGAGGTTGAGGCTGCAGTGAGCCCTGATCATGCCACTGCACTCCAGCCTGGATGACAGAGCTAGACCTTATTTCAAAAACAAAAACAAAAACAAAAATCTGTATGACCCCTATGTTCATTAATTTATCCATGCCCACATAACCCTGTGACCCATTAAGAGAGAAGATAGGCTTAAAAATGTAGACTGTAGAGTCCACACAGCAAGGGATCCAATCCAACTTCTACCATGCATTAGCTAGATCAGCAGTCCCCAAACTTTTTGGCACCAGGGACTGTTTTTGTGGGGACCCGGCAGGGGACATAGTTTCAGGATGAAACTGTTCCACCTGAAATCATCAGGCATTAGTTAGATTCTCATAAGGAGTTCACAATGTAGATCCCTCGCATGCACAGTTCACAATTGGGTTCAGCCTCCTATGAGAATCGAATGCCGCCACCGCTAATCTGACAGGAGGCAGAGCTCTGGCAGTAATGCTGGCTCGCCTGCCACTCACCTCCTTCTGTGCAGCCCAGTTCTTAACAGGCCACAGACTGGTGCTGCTCCATGGCCCAGGGCTTGGGGATCCCTGATTAGATAACTTGGAGCAAGTAACTTGACCTCACTTAGCCTTAGTTTTCTCGTATGTAAAATATGACAACAGTACGCATCTTATAGGATTAAGTTAACCAACCAATGTGGCAACATTTACTTTAATGACTGCTGTGTTCTAAGTACTGGGTCAATGTCAACTGTGGTTGCCATCAGTATTATCTTCTCATAATTTACTTTACCCAAGCTGGCCTGGCATGGATATGAGAACTGCTACAGCGCAGAGTATAAGGCTTCTTTACCCACAAAACACAGCATCATAATGAATGACCCTTATTTGTTCATCTTGAAACTTCAGAGACTTCATCCAGTTTGTTTTTGTCACTGTTATTTCTAATAATTGTCTGCCACCTTAGATGCATGACACTCTAATTTGAAGAGTGATTTCATTTTGAAGGAATCTAGCAGAGCGTGACTCAAATGAGATCTTCCAGAAAGAAAATCCTATTTAATGACTGTGATGTAGAGAAAACTGTTTTGAGCAATCCATAGATGATTCAACACTCTCAAGGTGTGAAAGTAGGACTAAGGTGGCTTTAGTAAGTAATGATTTGAAAGCATGCATCTGTATAATGATGTTTCATAGTTACAAAGCAACCATAAACATGTATTTTGATGGTTTGGTAATGATATAGATACTTACGTTCTTATTGCTTTTAGTGACAGTCAGGTGGGTGAGGGAAACTGTCTAGACATTGTCACCTAGTTTTTTAAAATTGATTTCTCATTATTTTGAAGAAAGTACCTTTTCTGGACAAACAGTATTTAGCTTCAGAATAGTCTATTCTTTGCTGAGCTTTGTGTGTAGAATTTCAAAGAACTTGGAGTTTCTGAAGTTTTTCTTGTATTGTAGAGTATGTCATTAGAGTGTCAGTCTGTGCAGGCTGCTATAACAAAATAACATAAACAGAAATTCATTTCTCATAGTTTTGGAGACTGGGAAGTCCCAGAAAATGGTGCCAGAAAATTTAGTGTCTAGTTGAGGATCTGATTCCTGATTGTTCATAGCTCCTGGAACCTCACATGGCTGAAGAAGCAACAGATCTAAGGTCTCTTCTATAAGTTTGTTAATATCATTCATGAGGTTCTACTCTCATGACCTAATCACTTTTCAAAGTCCCCACCTCCTAACACCATCACTTTGGGGGCTAGAATTTCAACATACGAATTTGAGGAAGGACATAAAACCATTCAGATCATAGCACAGTTTGAAATTTTTTGGTGAATGTGCCTTAGTTCCCTATTGGCAAAGTACATATCACTCTTCCTGCATAAGTTTAAGAAATATAAAAATGATATTTTTATTAGAACAATATTTGGTTCAAGGGATCATTATCCACCTAAATGATAAAAGTCTAAAAACAAAATTGTTCTCAATGTATTCTCTTTCTTCATCATTCAAACAAATACTAAGGATGATTACTTAATTTTATAAATATTGCTTGATATTATCCTCTTTATAGTATTCCTTCTGGCCTAGTTTGATTGAAGGTTCAGATACTCTTACACATAGGAGCAGACGAGTGTTGTAAGTGATGGAAGCAGAATTCCTGGGAAGAAATAGTGAGCAGTGGGATCTTGGAAAATGGGTTGGAATTACCCTCATTGGGGTACAGTTGGTCTCAGCTAAAGAGAATGACTGACCCACACCCAGTGTGGGGACTAAAGAAAAAAAAATATGAAAAATGGATGTATGTAGTCCATGGACTGCAAATTTGCAACCTTTATTTTACACTCCCATCACCTTGCTTCTATATTGTGGCAGTGGCTCCTGCCTTCAGCTACACAGATGTCCAATCCATTCTCTGTATTAACACCAGAGTGGTGTTTCAAAGAGTCCAACAATCTCATGCCCACCCCCCCCCCCCCCGCTTTGTTTTTTTCTGAGACAGTCAATCTCCTCTCACTGCAAGCTCCGCCTCCCGGGTTCACGCCATTCTCCTGCCTCAACCTCCCCAGTAGCTGGGACTACAGGCACCCGCCACCAGGCCTGGCTAATTTTTTGTATTTTTAGTAGAGACAGAGTTTCACCATGATAACCAGGATGATCTCAAACTCCTGACCTCGTGATCCACCTGCCTTGGCCTCCCAAAGTGCTGGGATTACAGGCGTGAGCCATCGCGCCCGGCTTCGCTCCCCTTTTTAAAACAACTTCCACAGCACCTAATTGTATACTGCATGAAATACAAAAGTCTAAGTTCTTTACCATGACATATAAGAGACCCTTTTTGGACCCTGCCTCTTCTTTTGTTTTCAGTTTCACTTCTCACCACTGTCCCTCCCTAGTACAGTATGCTTTAAAGATACAGAATTGCATGTCTTTGTCCACGTACGCCATGGTACTGCTGCCCCGTGCTTGTTCTGTTCACCTGCAGTTTTACTCTCACTCTGCCCAATTGGGAGACATCATTCAACCCTTACTTAGGCCTTGGTACCGCTTTGAAGTGTCTCCTCTCATGCATACTTGCTAGGCTATACTACATAATGGCCTCAGAATAGAGTTCTCTTTAAATGCCTTGCATGTATCACATCAGTCCATTCAAGTTTTTATTCCCTATCTGCCCACTTTATTAATTAGCTTCTTGTTCTCCTTTCATGTACAGACCTTATCTGAATCTTTTTTGTCTTCTCGGTGTCTGGCAAATGGTCCAGCACATAGTATGCGTTAACCTGTTGCCAACATATTTTCCATGTTCTGATACGAAGGTGATAAGAAAGAGAATAATGAATGTTTCATGAACATTTCTTAAAGGGATAGAATTATTTGGGAAGATATGAAAATATTTTATCTCCAAGGCAATGCATTTATTTGTTTATTTTTTTGATCCTTTAAGTCATATAAGGGTTATATGTTCTCAGATGTACTTTATTCTAGGAATTTCTAATTTAATGTACTCAAATACAAAGCACTGTTTAGGAGAGCAGGCAAAAGTCCCATAAATCTCGGTTGTAAGTTGATTTCAGAAAACACTCATCCGCACAGTGTCACCCAACTGTTGACTGATTAGACCATATCAGGCAGTATCTCCACTGGTTGTGTTTAATGTGCATTTATATGGGGTTGGCTCATGATGCTGTTTGAAGTAATCTTCTCTTTACACTACACCAGGTATACGGTTCATAATTTTTTGACCTGTGTGATTTATGTGTCTGTTTTCCACAGCTTTTGTTTTGGTATCAGAAACCATTAATCCTTCAAAATCCTGCAGTTATAATGTTAACTGCCAACAGCATTGATTTGCAATTGGCATGAGAGTATGGTTCAACCATTTCATAATAATTCTAATCTATTTTTAAATGATGACCATTGTACCACTAAAGTAATCAAATATAGAATTTCCCCTAACTCTTCAACAAAAATATATTCACTCTATTCTTGGCCTCAGGTTTATTTCCTTAGTTTTACATAAGTTATTTTGTTAAACATAATGTTTAGCAACTCTTAGTTTACCTAGTACTGTAGTATAATTAATAAAGTAATTGTCACTCCTCTGGATTATTTTTTCTGAATTTGTATAGATATTAATACATAACATGTTATATATTGTTACATGTGGATGTATTGTGAGGAGAGCCAGCTATGTCTCTTGCTGCTGAACAGCAACAAATTTTATTTTTAATTTCCCTGTATGTTTTATAAAGGCAAAATATTAAAGGCTAATTTCAGTGTCATTACAAACTATGTAATTTCAGTATGGATTCTCATAGTGACTACTGATACCATAGAAGCCTTCTTAAAAATTACAGGTTTTTAAGACTTCTAGGGTATATACTTCATTCTGTGAATGATTAATAAGAATAGTATAATTCTTAGTATAATATCATAGTATAATTCTTCAGCCTCCATGGAGTCTATAATGGCGATTTTGGCACCATTAAACCTCAAATGAAATATTGCTAAAAATTATGGATAGAGGTATTTGTTTGGATGTGTAGGGGGAGATGACGTGAAGCAGAAGTTATTGAGAAGGAATGACTACAAATATGTGGGTCAATCCAAGCATATGTTAGCTTATCTGCTACAACACCTGCACACCTCACTAAAGAAAGAGTTTGCAAAAGGATATCAAGTCGCTTGGAAAAATAATGATCTAACATTTAGCTCATGTGAAAGTAATTCATTTGTCTCATAGGACTTTAGGGAGAAAAGACCAAAAGCTGTTTGTGGTTTGCTCTACCCCAAAATCAGGTTTTCTCTAATTTTGAAAATATTCTAGGATTCTGGCTTCACTTAAAAAATTAGGCACTTCCAACTGAAGGCTAAGAGAACTCTTTTTAGAAAAAAAGGAAAAACCTAGGCATTAACTGACTATCATTAAGGAACTTGATGTTTTTCAGGGAATGATGTACCTGGAAGAAAGACGGCTCGTTCATCGGGATTTGGCGGCCCGTAATGTCTTAGTGAAATCTCCAAACCATGTGAAAATCACAGATTTTGGACTAGCCAGACTCTTGGAAGGAGATGAAAAAGAATACAATGCTGATGGAGGAAAGGTGGATATCTTTTTGAGAGCAATATTGCTTGAAAATGTAGTATAATATCCTTTTATTTCCTTATATTGTATACAAGAAATCGATAAGCCTGAAGCTTAGGAGATTATAAAACCTTGGTTCTACCATTTGCATTTTCTCCTGCTCAGGGTATGTATGTGTGTGTGTATGTATTTCATGTACACATATATATACCATATATTACCAGCTTCTATTTCTCAAAAGTAGCTAAAATAAGGTGATGTATGTCTGTACCCAGGTGACCTTCATGTTAGGTCCAGTGGTGGGAAAGGGGTAGATCCTTAGGGCTTCTAGAAATTAAACTTTAACACATGACTGTAGAAATTGTCCCATTGATCTAAATACCATAGCACTAACTCTGACAGATAACATAGCTTCTCTCTTATAGACTAGAGAAAAGTTTAGGTAGTACAAACCACCCTGAACAGAGCCACTGCCTTCATCCAACTTTTCTGACCCTCTAGTCTCAGCCTCTGCCTGACAACAGCATTCCTGACTCTTTCACCCACTCTGTGATCTCAATCCGTGCCTTAGTACCATGTCTTGTATTTCCTCATTAACCTTCTCTTTAGCTTGCCTTTCTTGGCTAAACTATTAGGACTAGACTTCATATGGAGGTCCCTCTAGCTTCACCTGGTGAAACCTAAGGTCAGGAAGCCCAAATGAAATAAGCAAATGCAATCTTAGCCTATGGTGACCTATAAGCTTACACTAACAAAAGAAACTCAGTTATTCTCATGTCATGTAAATATATTTATTATATGCTTTATTTATCATGGGCCATCCAAATATATATTATAAATATTTTACAATGTTAGGTTCCAAATGCTTAACTTCATCACAAGGCAAAATAACACAAAAATTTTTTAAACTACCCTCTTTTGTCTGTTTGCTACCAAACTGCAGTAGTCTGAGACCACAGGTTTGAAATTCACTATAAGACTGCACAGAAGTTGAAGTCTATAAATCACATGGCTTCACTTGTCTTGAGAACATAAGATTTGAGACATAAGATTTGTCTAAAGCAAGATTCATTACAGCTTTAAATGCTTGGTAACCATTAAGTCTTTATCAAGCTACCTGTGATTTAAACGTACTTCTTTAACACAATGTCCGTAGTCCATAAAGTCTGCTAACTCCTTGCCCATAGGGAAATTACTTTCAATGTGTCTTCTGTTCCCTTTCACTGAATACCATGATTCTGTCATAGAGTTACCTTGGTGTCACCTTGGTGAGCAGCCAACCTCATGATTTCAAAGGCCTATTTAGTTTTAAGCTTTCAACTGCACAGTAGAAGTGTTTATCTTTATTCCATAGAATCTAATTATATTCCCAGCTATATAATGCTGCCCTTCATAGTTGAAACTCATTCTGCTGGCCCATCATCAGCAGGATATGTGGGTTGAGTTGTTTTTCTTGTAGTGATGATAGATTTGTGCTGATCCCCTCACATTCCTTTATATAGTTCCTATTTTGAAAATGGTACATATTTTCAATACTGGCTAACCAAGATGAGAGAGGTCATTTGAAGCTGGAAAACAAAGCAAGGCTAACTTTGGAATTCACAATTTTAGGCCTTTTATTGGCCAAATTATATGAGAGGAGAAGGGAGGGGGCAAGTATAGAAAGAGTCCATTGTACTGGTGGCCCAAAATGTGTCTGAGGGTGAAAAGGGATAACTGAAACTATAACAAATCTCATTTTTTTGAGAAAAAACTATAAACATATTTTTAGAAGCATGTGTATTAGATGTTTAGATTTGACACTGTAAATCATAATATTTACTAGCAACTTAATTACTGAAAGTTAATTAAGAACTATAGAAAGTTATCCCTACTTAATTATTTTTACCTTTAATTGTTTATAAAGCTTTTTAAAAATAATACATAAATAAGTATGACCAAGCATGGTGGCTCATGCCTGTAATCCCAGCATTTTGGGAGGTCAAAGCAGGCAGATCACTTGAGCTCAGGAGTTCTAGGTCAGCCTGGGCAACATGATGAAACCCCATCTCTAAAAAAATGCAAAAATTAGCCAGGCATTGTGGCGTACCCCTGTGGTCCCGGCTACTCAAAGACTAAGGTGGGAGGATCACTTGAGCCTGGTAGGCAGAGATTGCAGTGAGCTGAGATTGTGCCATTGCACTCCACCCTGGGTGACAGAGTGAGACCCTGTCTCAAAAAATAAATAAATCAAATAAAAAATGAATAAGTATAGTATGTCTTTAGATTATTTCACTTTATGTATTTTATAAATTAACATATATTTATAGTTATATCTACACACATACAATTTAAAAAATATGATTAAGTCCAGCCCAGAGATTCACATTTATGAAATATATATAGAAATGAATTTTTAATGTAATTTTAAAACTTTCACTTCTTACTTCTCTATAGATGCCAATTAAATGGATGGCTCTGGAGTGTATACATTACAGGAAATTCACCCATCAGAGTGACGTTTGGAGCTATGGTAAATAAATCTTCTTTGCGAATTAAAGCTTGTAAAGCAAAAATACATATGTTAAATTCATGTGAAATATCTTAAGCTAAATTATTTTGTTGTGTTATAAATACCTATTTATAAGCCTAATTTCCTAAAGGAGTTAACTCTTTGCTTTCTCAATGAAAGAAAGAACAACAAAATACTCTCTTTTATTTTATTTTACTTTAAGTTGTGAGATACACATGCAGAACCTGCAGGTTTGTTGCATAGGTATACATGTGGCATGGTGGTTTACTGCACCCATCAACCTGTCATCTAGGTTTTAAGCCCCCCATACATTAGGTATTTGTCCTAATGCTCTCCCTCCACTTGCCTCCCATCCCCCGACAGGCCCCTGTGTGTGAGGTTCCCCTCCCTGTGTCCATGTGTTCTCATTGAAGAACAACAAAATATTCTAAATAGCATTCCTATCTGCCTTTTCTGCTTTTTTCTAGTTTATTACAATGTAATATACTAATATCTCTGCTAAGATGTTTTCCATAAGCTTTGGTTTGATAGCAACTGGCCTGATCATTTTGACAGGAAAAATATTCAGCCAATTTTGGTTTAGGGACAATTTCATAGAATTTCATGGCGTTAATTTTAAGCAACTTTCAAAAACATAACTCTGAATATAGTAAATATTCAAACAAAAACAAAACTAACTTTTTGTGTGTTTTTTACATATGAGAATTTTTATGGTCTATAGTAGAAAACAGATTATTGTCATAACTAAGAAAAATTACTGACAGCAGTAAGTTAGAGCAATGAACATGGTAAAAAGAGAAGACTGCTAATTACAACATTAATTTTAATTTACAAACTGCTTGTGGAGTAACAGAAATGTTACAGAGTGCATAATATGAACTGGAAAACAGTGATATCTATAATTAGAACATTTATTTCATTGTGCTTAACTTAATTGTTAAGATGAGCTACTGAGCATCTGTCTGGCTACTTAAATGTAAGTCCGGTATTACCAAGAAGGAGTCAATATAGTTCTAAGTTTAAACATATCATATAAAATTGGCATTTCTTACAAATAAAAAAGCCTAACACCCACTTAAATAAAAGGGTGGTGGTGAGATTTAAACGCATGGTACAATTTATTTTACTCAAACTTAAGCTTAAAAAAAGTTTTACCTTTTTTTGCGTTGTTGGAAAAAAAGATATAAACCATTCAGTCACTTCGAACTTACAACTCTTATTTGTCGATGCTTGACAAAACTTACTTCTTAAACTATTGTAAGAAGTGTATAGAAAAACATCTATTACATGTATTCTATGATAAATTTATATATTATATGATACAGATTAACATGTAGATTAGCATTTATATGTTACATGATATAGACAGGTTTATAGAATATATATGTCAGATTTATATATTATATATATCATACAGTATATTTTATATATGTATACACTTCTTTCTTTTTCTTCTTTTTCTACTTACAATTCACTGAATCAAATGTAGCAATCTCCTGAAAGCAAATTTAAATTAGCTCAAAATATATGTAAAGTTGGCAGAACGGTCTTTTAATAGTAAAATTTGTCTTTTGGGGAAAATCTTGTTACTCAGGCTGTAACAATTTTCTTCATGTTGAGTTGCAAAATCCCAGGAACTGTTCATCAAAAATAAATAAATAGATAGGTAATACTCTGTTTTGAAACACAGCCCAGGTCATCAACCTATATTCATAAGACATTTAAAAATTTTTATGATATATCACAGTTGATTGCAAAAGGCATAAAAGGCAGAGAAAGTTGCATAACTTTGTTTACAGTGCACCTTTATGGAAAATTCTCACTACGTGCATTTTTATTTTTACAAAAATAAGCATCAGCTGTGATATACATCTCAAGATAAAGGAATTGCAAGTAAAATTTGAGGTTGTTTTATTTTAGCTTTCCTGATATTGTTCTTTTGCATGAAACCATCCTTTTCTAACCCTATCTTGTCATCACCTTTACAAGCATATAATTGGATTATTATCAGAAGTAGAGTTTTTTATATTTTGACTTTGTTTTTGTATTTATATGTTTCTGTTTATTATATTTTCTATTATTTTGATTTACAGTTGCTTTGTATCTTGCTTATGTTGGGAGTTCTGATGGAGATGTGAGAGTATCTACTCTATCTTTTATAACTGCCTATCTAACTTAATAAAATGTTCTCCTTAAATATATATTCTAGGCCCAGCATGGTGTCTCGTGCTTGTAATCCTAGCATTTAGGGAGGCCGATGTGGGCAGATGGCTCAAACCCACGAGCTTCAGAGCAGCCTGGGCAACATGCTGAAACCCTTTATCTACTAAAAAATATAAAAATCAGCCAGGCATGGTGGCTCATGTCTGTAGTCCCAGCTACTCAAGAAGCTGAGGTGAAAAGATCATGTGAGCCTGGGGAGGTTGAGGGTGCAGTGAGCTGTGATCATGCCTCTTCACTCCATTCTGGGTGACAGATTGAGACCCTGTCTAAAATATAAAATATATCATTCTAAAATATAAAAAATTCTAAAATATAAAATATTCTAAATATAAAATATTCTAAAATATAAAATATATATATTCTGTAAGTATGACTATCTAGAGATGAACAGTCATCCACTTAACTTGTTGCAGCCTACCTCACAGAAAATTTTTATGATAGATTTTAGGAACTACTCCTTAATATACAAACTTAAAGATGTAATAACAATCAGTCAATTAAATTATCACTAGGTACATGTTAACAATATACCTAAAATCCTAAGATGTAAATATTAACAAAAAAAATCAGGTAATAGTTAATATTCTATTATGAAGAGTAATTTTAAATTCAACTTAGCTTTATATTTTAAGCTTTGTATTTTTGTTATCAGTCAATGATAACTGTTATAAACTAAAAACGACTTCAGTCTGAGTAAATAATTCATTACACATGGCAGCAGGAAAGAAAGCATAGCTCTAATTAATGGATTTTATACAGAAAGATGACTGTATATGTACATCAATCAAAATTCACTTTGTAATATTTTTGTGCCCAGCTAGCCATTTCTGAACTTAAAAATCTTTACCCTTAAGAAAATATTATTTTAAACTATATGATCATTATATCACAAAAATGATATTTAGTGTATATATTATTGCTGAAATCAGAACCATCATTATCATCAAAACTGGCTATTTGCATGCTAACATTTAGTGTATTTGCTTTTGCAGAGAAAATCAATGTCCCAGTGATTCAAGAAAGCCATTTTATTACCTAAAGAATAAACTACTTTTTATCCCTTTCACAATTTTGTTGATGCCTACTTCACATGTACTATATATTACATATGGAACATTCCTCACTCAGGCTCTCATATTTGCTAAAGAAGTATATCTGTTTTATTCAACTGTTCTCTTTGTGTAAGGTAGAGAGAGTCACAATTCTTTATTGTAACATAAGGTAATTATTCTGGAAGCCTTTAATAGCAAAGATGCTAATCTTAAAATTAGTCAATATCTTATTTTACTGGCAATCATATTTATTGTTACTGAATACATATGTATGTATAGTAAATGAATTGTTTTATGGACAGCAACATGGTATAGTGAAATATAACTTGGATCAACAAACATTAGTATTACCTATAGGCAGAAATGGGAAACAGATTCTATACGCTGATATCCACTGTAAATTGTCTCTTCTATCCATTAGAAATTCCAAGACAATAATAAGAAAATTGAATTCCCCCATACAGATTTTGACATTGGGGTTCTCATAATGGATACAGGAATTTGTGGAGCTTTTTCTTTAATTGATTGGTATTTTGATTGACCTATAAGGAGTATTCTTTTACCAGTGGTATATTGCCAGTTTGTTCAAAATATGTTGTTAATATGCTTAAGTAAGAATTTTTTCTCCAATATAGGAGTTACTATATGGGAACTGATGACCTTTGGAGGAAAACCATATGATGGAATTCCAACGCGAGAAATCCCTGATTTATTGGAGAAAGGAGAACGTTTGCCTCAGCCTCCCATCTGCACCATTGACGTTTACATGGTCATGGTCAAATGTAAGATTGCAAAATAATGTTATCATTGCCATCATCATTCTTAGTAAAGTAATAGCACAGATTACTCAATCTGTATAACATTTCTCTGTACTGAAAAATACAACAGTTCAAAAACAATTATGAAGGGAACATGTAAATGCCTCTTTGTTGTGACTATTATTAATATAAAGTAATATTCTTCCATGCTATGAAGTCAAAATTATGACTTTTTTACTCTCATAATCTCCATGACAGTCAAACTGCCTGTCATAAAGAGAGGTGAGTAGTCACAATAATGTTCTTAGTAACATTACTAACAGGAATGTTAGTAATAACATTAGTGACCTTTATGGGAAAATATCAGGCTACATAAATGATCTAAACATGAAGGAAAAAAACTGAAAACTGATAGTTTTAAAAATTAATTTAATAGAAATGGGTCTATGGGTTTTAGTCAAGAGCAAATTAGCAGGATAAGATGGGAAGTGGAAAGAAATGAAACTAGAGTGAGCTAAAAAGATTATAAATGTTTACTTTTTTCAATTTGATCATTTGTTTACATCAAACTCTTTCTTTTTTCTTCCCATGCCGCAGACACATATGTATTATAAATGTGTTTTTGAAGCACAGGCCCTTAATTTAAATAGAATTAAGGAAGTCTCTGGAGTTTCTGGCTTAATTTAAGTGAGATTAACATGTAGCAATTTCTCTTGTATAATCTAAGGTTTTCCCCTTCTGATTTACACCGGGTTAGCAAAGAAACAAACTTGTGAAGGTGAATAAGCATCTTATTAATAAGAGACTTTGGACCCAGGTCTACTCAGATTTATATTCATGACATGTGTGATACATTCTGACAGTGAGGGAGGAAATAAAAAATGTTCTTTGCAGTTCAGGTCAGCATGCCCTTTTCACTAAGCATAGTTCTATTTACTCAATATTTAGTTGGAGAGAAACCGATACCTCAACTGTGGTTAACCTTTTTTGGCTTCAATAGTTTCAGAAACACCTATTTTCTCATTAGCATCTTGGCATTAGCAAGCATTTTTTCAAGTGAATACATATAGAATACAGAGCATTTGAGCTTTGTTTGGAGAGAAAAAAAGCAGATGACATTAATGATACATAAAATAACACCCACAAAATTCCCAGATTAAGAATAAAAACTGAATTCCCAGAAAAGGAAGGAAAAAGCTTTACAGCCTTATTCTATTAAATATTGTTTGGTAGATATCTATGGAAAAAAGTTTAAAAACATGCATGTCTTATATAATCTAATCCTATAACTAGCATAGGAAATGATTGAAATTCATTTGAATTTAGCTCTGATGAAATTACATAAAACCAAGAAAACACTTTCTCTAATAGAGAATTTTACCTTTCTTTTGGAGTTTTAATACCTAACAAGAGGATAATTTGGCAAGAAAATCAAGGAAAGCTTGGTACTTTTATTCTTGTCATCTCATTAGCTAAACAGAGCCTGTAGAGATAAGGTCTACTTTATTTAGACTCCCAGCTAAAAAAGAATACATACCTTGAAAATTGCTGATAGTATGTTTATGCTAGACAAGCTAGTACTAAGATAAGCTAATGTCTATTGCTGAATAGGAATTACCAATCACTTTGCGTTAGTTTTTCTTTTTTTTTGTCCACCAGGACAAATGTAGCACAAGACATTTGCTTTTAATTTCTATTTTCCCCTTTGTGCCAGTGTAAGCATTGTGACCAAATCTTTTCTCCCATGTCACTCCTAATACAAAATAGCTTATATTGCAGTCACCTCATCTATACCCATCAGAGAAAAAAATTTATCTTTTGTTTGACAATACATTACATTTAGTTACGAATATCAACAAAGAGACTGATAAAGCCTTATCAATTGAGTTGTGTCTTTTACTAGCTTTCTTTCTTTTTCAGATCGTTATGATTAAAACAACATTTTTCAAACTTTTGCTCATATTTTCACAAAATTTAAATTTCAACTCCTTTTAATTATGGATATAGTGACATTTTCACTGTGTAAATTTCCAGGTTGGATGATTGATGCTGACAGTAGACCTAAATTTAAGGAACTGGCTGCTGAGTTTTCAAGGATGGCTCGAGACCCTCAAAGATACCTAGTTATTCAGGTTAGTACATTTGACTTATGCGTTTAAGACTAGACTGATGGCAAACTCACTGTAAAATGAGTAATATCGGGACTTTGGAACTGTGGGAATGACCACTAACATGCTGATTAATTAAGTAGATTATCATGTGAAATGACTTACTTATGGAAAAGAGCTTTTTTACTTCATGTCAGATCCACCTTTTAGCACCTTCCCTTAGTATTCAAGTGGCTCTGCTATTGAACAGATAATTATGATTATACATATACATGAAAAGGTCTTGATCCTCAGACACTTATTTTAGCACCTTGATTTTATTAACATTATGTGTAAGTCATGTTCATTAGTATAATTTTCATTTCTCAGAACAAAAGGAAGACAGATTATTGTTTTAATCTTGCCCATGCTTGAAGACAGAGAATCAAGTTTCAGTATATTAATATTTAATTTACCCAAAAATATTTTAAAAGATGTTCTGTTTTATTTGGAGGGATAGGCAGTATCCAAGCAATAACTCAATTCAAATGAATTGATGCACATTTGAATCAACCCACCAGCCAAATGAATATTTTGTATTTAACACTAGAAAAATAGACTGGATAATTTAAAAAAAATAATATATTTCTCTATGATTATTTTCACCTAAACTATAAACAAATGGGCCTTGGACTAGAGTGAATTATATTTCCTCAGTAAAACAAGGTAGCCTTTATTTACATATCAATAGTCTGACATAAAGATGAAAGCTAGGTTTTAGAAGATACTTATTTCCATTAATTTTTTTCCCCAAAATTAGTTTTCATGAACTGAAACTGTTTCAAAAAATTATGTAACTTTAAAAATATAGGAAAAATATTTAAGGTGAGGTGAGGAAAAGCATAACAAAGGTTTTGGTGTCTTTCTCGTACTCCTTTACTCTATTTGCCACTTGCACTATGAGTTTTGAATGTCACTACTTTGAAAATGTAGCCAGTATGCTATAGAATAAAGTATAGACCCTATGGTCCTGATAATCCTACAGCATCAAACCAACCAAATAAAATAAACATTGATAAATCGATCACATTTTATTGTTTATTCTTAAAGTTGCAACCCATACACGATCTGGGCAATGAACAATTATTTTCAGACCTGAAATTGATTTTACCTCCCTAAAATCATCTTTTGATTTTGCTTTATTATTCTCTAATGGTATTTATCATATACTGCTTGTATAAAGTGTGTTTACCTGGCCCTATCATTTCTAAGCATGTTATAGGTTTCTTAATGGCTGGTGGTTGTGCTAAAGACTTTTTTTTTTTAATGTGTGTACGAATTTTTCAACCATTTGTTATGATATTACATAAATTTATTGCAGAGACCACATATTTAAGATAAGAAAGAAAGAATCATATTTGTGTCTGATGGGCAATCTTTTAGGGTGATGATCGTATGAAGCTTCCCAGTCCAAATGACAGCAAGTTCTTTCAGAATCTCTTGGATGAAGAGGATTTGGAAGATATGATGGATGCTGAGGAGTACTTGGTTCCTCAGGCTTTCAACATCCCACCTCCCATCTATACTTCCAGAGCAAGAATTGACTCGAATAGGGTAAGAAGGAATTATATACACATACCGTATTATTTCTGAGATATAAAATCAAGTGAATAGGGTATAAGCACTAACATTTCAAAATAATTATATAGCTCAAATCAATGTGATGCCTAGATTAAAAATATACCATACCCACAAAAGATGTGCCAATCTTGCTATATGTAGTTAATTTTGGAAGACAAGCATGGACAATACAACATGTACTCTGAAATACCTTCAAGATTTTAGAAAAAAAACATTTTCCTCATCTTAATTTATTTAAAACAAATCTTTAAAAAACAATTCCAAATAATAAAACCATAAGTGTATATAAATAAATGAAAAGTCCTATGAAGTAGGCTTTCTACTTTTCTTTCTTAAAAAGATATTATGATTAGTCAAGAAGTAATACAAGTATAAATCTCTTTCACTCATTTAAGAAAAATTAAATATTTTCTGTCGAGCAGAAACAGAAAACCGTGCCGTCCTTTGAACCTAATCATATCGAAAAGGCTGCTAAGAAGTAGATTTTCTTTTTTTTTTTAATTATACTTTAAGTTCTATGGTACATGTGTACAACGTGCAGGTTTGTTACATATGTATACATGAGCCATGTTGGTGTCCTGCAGCCATTAACTCGTCATTTACATTAGGTATATCTCCTAATGCTATCCCTCCCCC